AAAGGCATAAACTTTATATTAATGAAAGCAAAACTTAAGCAATACAAAGAGAGAAAGCCAGAGCATGATTTTGATTTAGAAACCAAGATGCCTAAATACATGGTAAATGTCTCCTTTTGTAGGCTAAAATTTGAAACTATTGGTTTGATAAATAATTGATAAGTAGGTGACAACATCTTGACTTGGTGACAATCCTTATCTTCTTGTCTGAATAAAATATTATTAGTAACGCGAGAATTGAAACCACTTGTCTTGTCTGAATAAAATATTATTAGTAACGTCGGAATTGAAACCACTTGCACTATAAAAGTTTTAGGAAATTGTCTCAAGTTTCTAGAAGAAAAAAAAATGAGGTCATTTGGACTTCTAGAACTTAAGATATGAGTTGAAAACTGAACAGTGTCTGAGCTGCAGGACAGATTTGGACTTCTTCATTGTTACTATAATTTTGACTTGAAAATGGCCTTTTTAAAACCAGACCTCCACATAAAAGTTCTAGACCTATATCTTATCTTTCCATTCATATAAGGTAGGCCTAAATCCGAGATCTATAACTTTATATATAACCAAATTACCAAACAGTGTTTCGGTTTACACTATACCAGCATTTCTTTTCTAAGTTTGGCCCTCTCTTTGTCCTTTTAATTTCAGTACTTAAACTCATCAATCAATCATTTTATTTATATGATAGGCCTGCAATTAAGATGAATATTTATAATAAATTAAAAACATCTTATATTATTAGATATATTATAATAAAACATGTTTTAATTAAGGAGTTAGTGATACTTGAAGTGCAAAATAATGATATAAAATCTTGATAAAAATATACTTTTAAGTATTAATCACCTAGTGACCCGTAGTGTACTTTCCTTAGTTGTTTTCTTTCTATCATGTCTTGGTTTTTGATCAAGTTTTCGGGTCAATGGCACTTTCATTTATGCCTTCTGATTTTCCCACCATGCATAAGTTCCTTTCTTCCGTGATCATGAATTCCCTTTTGTTAATGGATTCCTCTAAAAAAATACCAACCTGTTCTCCATCCACTATGATTTTCTTGATCGCACGTACTCTTTGGCTTTGTTATGACATGTTCACAAGAATATGGAGGAGGTATTCATTCTCCTTTCAAAGGCACTCCTCTTGTTTCCTGCCAAATAACTTAATCACTTCTACATGTACCCTTAATGATGATGTTTTTTTTTTTTTTTTATGGCACTGACTTTGACAAAACATTTTAGATTCCCCTAGATTTAATTGCTTAATCATATCAACTCCATCATTTTCTACGTCTGCATATTTGGGGCAGCCATGGCATCTATTTAGTTTGCACCGAATTGGCTGCTAACCCTTTGAGCTATCGATTTCACATCACTAATTTATCTCAACTCATCAGCTTTGCCTAACTCTCACATGAACTGATTTGCATAGGTTATGTTTGCTTCTTTTCAAGTAAGCCTAAATCCAACCCTGTTCTGTTATGCTGTTGCAACCGTTGTTGCCCTCCTAGCTTGGATTGACCTTTTTTCACCTAATTTGTCTCTACTGATCCTAGCTCAGGATGACTAGAAGACATGCCTGCTTGGTTAAAAAAATAAAGAAACATCCTTTGGATATGCTCGGATCTAAACTTTCACTTCTATTTGGATATGCTCGGATCTGAACTTTCACTTCTATGTTTACTCTGGTATCTTTTCCACGACGCTCTCTCTTTATTCAATGGTTTAAGATGTGCTAGTTGCTCTCTTCTTTCAAACCGACAAAGCTCTATACAGGTTGCATGCAGTTGAAAAATTAGAAAGGATACCCTCGGCGTGGCTAGTTTTGGACTCAACAATTAGGGTATCTTTTGCGATTGCTCTTATTATTCCTAGTTTTTTTTTTTCCAACCTTTTATATGGAATGCCATGACAATCTGGGAACATTAGAAGATGAAACCTTTTCTATTTGAACTTCCACGCGCCTAGAGACATCTCACCAGTAGCATGAAAACATGAGCTCAGCACAGGGCCGGGTAGGCCTGGGCATCTTTTTCCTCCCATCATGAAGCGATGGAGAACTCATGAATTATGAACCTGTTTATTAAAAGTTAGAAACAATTTAAAAAAAAAATCTTTTTTTTTTTGTACTTGATAAACCAAACTGATCGAAACTAGCTAGTTGATCAATAAACTGGTCCACCGATTCCAATTATTCAATTTTGGTTTCACTTTAAAAGTTCGAAAACTAAACTGTACGTAGAAGTCCGTAATAAATAATAATCAGAACACCATTTTTTTAATTAATTTGTGAAAATCCGCAGAAAAACGTGAGAGATCCCTTTTTTTTGGTTCTCCAAAAAGAATTTATCATAATCGATCTCCTCAAGTCTGCAATAAATGACACGCACAAAGTGCTAACAATTACATCTATAAAAAGATGGCTGGATGATGTAGAAATGCATTAAAAAATAAATATATAAATTTTTTTTAATAAAAAACAAAAATATCTAATCTGTAAGGGAGAACAGGATAAATAACTATCATTATATAACGTGAGCGCAGATTTAGATTTTGGACTAATTCGACCGTTGGAAACAATGTTCTGCTTTCGGCCCCACTCAATACGCTCCAGTCCACGTCCATGTATATATATATCTACGAACAAGATCCAATTCAGATCATTCAAGTTCCCAAATAGTCCTTGGATTGAGAGCCTGGTTCGTTGGTTAATCTCGTAAATTCACTTATACACTTACACACGCCAGGCTGCTTAGTGGTTCAGTCCACCGATAATAACTACTGGAGGTGGATTTAATTTAAACAACTACTCTGAGAGACAGTGTAAAAACACTGCTGCTGCTGCAAGAGGAGAGGGCGGAGGACAGACGGAGAGATTCATACGATCGAAGAGGAAGAAGAGCATTCTCTCGTCTCAGGTATTGCTCTCGTATCATCATCATCCTCTGACTCTATCTATGTATTTACCATTGTTCGCTCGGTGTTATGTGATCAACAAACATATCGGACTTTGTTTCCTATTCTATATTTCTTTATGATATCTAGTTCTATATTACTCCCTCCCATTTCAAAAGAAACAAAACACTTGTGTTAGGATAAGGGTGATTCAGTAAAATATCTTCTTTTGCTGCACCTACAGGCTACACGTTTTGATACACGTACATGTATTATTTTGGTTTTCCAATAATTTCTGCTTATTTTGGCCTTTTCAAAATTTGAAACTTCCCTCTTTATTCTCACAAATTGAAATGACTAAACTACCCCCATCCACTTGACTGAGGGAGTTTACTTGATGTGATTTGCTTCCAGAAAATGTATCGAATTGTCTTTTTAATCACATTTTGTCATTTGTCGAAATCACAAACTGTCACATTGCTTAGGTTAAGATTTTCCCGCTGAAAAGCCTATTGATTTTTATTTATGTTGTGTGGCATATTGACTTAATTTAAGTGGAGAAAAAGAAAATGGTGGAGATGACGATGAACAAGGAAACATCACACTGGTGGTGGTTTGACAGTCATTATACCTCAAGTGGATCTCCATGGCTACAATCTACTCTCGCTGGTAAACCCCCCCAACCCCCTCTCTCTGTTTTCTTTTTTTTTTAAATATTGGTGACCATATTATAATTCTTTTTGGCTTTTCTTGTACCTGGTACAAGAAAAGTGTTGCTATTTGGGTGGGTCCAGCCATGGATTCTTTGAGAACTACAAGGTGAGATAGTCATTAATTATCGCCATACTAATCAAGGTTGTATGTACAACTTATTCTGAGAAATGTCTTGGACCATGCGGGGTTAGAGAGAGAGGTAATTCCACCATGGAAGGTGGATCCAATTATTTATTAACCCTAGGAATTTATTTATTTTTTATTTTTGTGTAAGTTGAAAGGATTATCGAGATTTACTAGACCTGTGTATTAAAGGGATGATTCTAATATAATGTTAGGTTAATGTTTTGGTAGCCGAAGTTATTTTTTAGTTTGGAGGTTTAAGAGAGTATTGGAGACGACAAGAACAAGTACCAGAGATATGATATGAGCATTAGGATCACTGATGTGATTCGTTTCCTTCGGAGCCTTTTCTCCGCTCAAAATCTAATCGAAGTGGGTTTTCATAGATTTTATTTTCATATTTGTAAGAGTGTATCTTTTACTGGTTGTATTTAATCGATAATGTTATGACTTATTCGGCACAATCCTGAACAAAATAAAGCGTAGTCGTTGGAGGGGTCTTCAACCATAAAGAACTGATTGGGTAGATGGGTATTGGGAATGAATTATGGTTGAAGTGGAGTAAAACTCCAAGTTAATACGGATCGTGCGTTATCTTCATGGCACTGATTTTGAGAAGGAACCACGATGTGAGGTTAATTTGTGATTGTCTGAGTGAGACTGCTTGGTAGTGGGAATTATGGTATACGGTCCCTCAATACAGGCCCCCCTTAATGTCCCACAACTAGTTTCAGTCTTTTGATTGAGGAAATGGCTTTGAGATGTACTTTCATCACTTTTCTAAGGTTCTAAAAATGATGCCGGACCCGTTGACTGTTAGTTAAAAGGGGTTGCGACCCTTGTGAATCACAAAATGTAGATTCGTAAAAAAAATTGGAAGTTGGTAGGGCCATGGACTCGCCTTTCCTGTTCATATGTTTTTCGTTTACCCGCTTTGGCCTTCGCTTTTTCTTTACTTCTAAACCAACCTGAGATTTTGATGGTACTATAATAAATAGAACTTAACTAGCTAGTTGCCAATTGCAATTCTCTGTGGTAAGCTGGTTGATGATTGCTCAGGTGCTTACACTTTCCAAGTTCAAGATCTCTTGCAATGCAACATTTTGTGTTAAATAAATACCTAGAATTAGGCATTTTGACTTTGAGTATCCCGGAGATCTTTTACCATCTGCCCGTGTTTGAAATTTATTATATACCAGATTTGCCTTCATTAATAATGTTTTAATTTGTACTTCTGGTGAGATGGTAAATTTTTTGGTATAAGGATCTCGTTTCTGTTTTGGCAGAGCTAGACAAGAGGACAAAGTCAATGCTGAAACTGATAGAGCCAGATGCTGATTCTTTTGCTCAACGTGCAGAGATGTATTACAAGAAACGGCCTGAGCTAATTAGCATGGTTGAAGATTTTTACAGGGCACATCGATCATTAGCTGAGCGATATGACCAACTAAAGTCTGACTCTGGAAATCGCCTCCTGGCAACATTTGGGTTGCCATTTTCAACCAAACATCGACCTGAGAAGTTATTGAGTGTGGAGATACATCAAACATATGGTAGCCACTCCGAGATTTACGACGCTGAGGATTTCGCTGAGTCTGAAGTAGATGACCCCGAACAAGACCAAATTCAAGTTGATGAAGAATTGGAAGAAATTGAGACACCTGAAGAAAACAAAGAAACCCATGCTGAAGACTCTGCTGAGTCTGAAGTAGATGACCCTGAACAAAATCAAATTCAACTTGATGAAGAATTGGAAGAACTTGAGACACCTGAAGAAAAGAAAGAAACCCATGCTGAAGACTCTGCTGAGTCTGAAGTAGATGACCCTGAACAAAATCAAATTCAACTTGATGAAGAATTGGAAGAACTTGAGACACCTGAAGAAAAGAAAGAAACCCATGCTGAAGACTCTGCTGAGTCTGAAGTAGATGACCCTGAACAAGATCAAATTGGTGAAGAATTGGAAGAAATTGAGACACGTGAAGGAAAGAAAGATGTTGACGTTTGTAGCATGTACAATGCTGAAGTGACGAAGTTGAAGGAAGAAATAGAAAGACATGAGGTAGAGAAGAGGATTTACAAGGGTTATCTTTTGCAGAAAGACGAGGAGATGAGAGAACAAAAGAAAGAAATTCCAGCCAATGACGGAATGAGAGAAGCTGACATTTCAAAGGTCGTGTACAATGTCGAAGTGATGAAGTTGAGGGAAGAAATAGAAAGGCTTAGGGAAGAGAAGAAGATTAGCAAGGATCATATTTTGCAGAAACATGAAGAGAAGACAGAAGAAAGGAATGAAACTAAAGTCAACGAAGGAATGAAAGAAGTTGAATTTTCAAGTGTTTTGTACGATTTTGAAGTGATGAAGTTGAGGGAAGAAATAGAAGGGCTTGGGGAAGAGAACAAGATTTACGAGGAGCTACTTTTGCAGAAAGATGAAGAGAAACGAGAAGTAATAAGACAGCTAAGTTCAACAGTTGACGTGTTGAAGTTAGAGAATACGAAGCTGAGGAAGTGTGTAGCTAGAGACTCCCACAAAAAAGGAAGCCATTTCACAGTCGAGAAGCTGAAGGATGTATTTCTTGGGAAGCTTTTTAATGCAACTTCAAAGTCTTCAGAGTAGAGTCCAAGCTCTGTAGATGTGGATTTTCGACGGCAAGTAGGGTAGTTTGTAAACACAGTTTGTATCTATCTATAGATGATTATACTATTAGGTGTAATCCAGAGTAGAGTCCAAGCTCTGTAGAAGTCAACCTAGGAAACCCAGTATACTGTAATCTTTACTATGATGATATTCTTGAACCTAATTTTCAATATATATTTTAAAAAATAAGAAAAATATAAAAAACAAATACCAAAATTCTCAGAAAATATCTTTTCACGTGATTTGGCCAATTTCAAAAAAAAAAGAGAGAGAAAATCAATCCTGACAAATAAAATATAATTAAAAAATAAAAAAAAACTAATTTAATTTAAACATTAACAAGTACAAAGAAAAAATCAATGAAAAAACAAAGTTGTCTTATAAAAAAGAATTTTGAAAATTTGAAAGGTCAAAGTGTTAGTTTAACATACCCTATAGTTAATTGGTTCGTTACATATAACATTATTATATTCAAATAAATATGTATTAATAAAAGCTTAATTTATCTTTAATATTCATATAATATTATATTAATAAATTTAGAGTAAAGATAAAGTTCAAAAGACAAAAATACTTTGTAAAAAAAATTATAAAGTTATTATAATTATGGGACTCCTGTTATATTGAAATATTATTTCTAAATTATTTTTTATTGATATTTTTTTAAAATAATAAACATTTATTAGAGTCGTAAAGACTGATACATATTATGAAAACAATTGTATTCATAAATTAAGATATAAAGGATACCTATAACTAATATGTAGGTATTTATCATAAGATATGTACAATGAATGTTATGGAAAGACCTATGTATATGGAAAGGCTCACGAGACGATTTTGTAAGTCATCCTTAGATTTAAGATCATTAAGCAAATTTATATCAAGAATGTTATGTTTTGATTCTATTACATGTTATTTTAGTCGAGGTACCTATAGAGCAAACATTGGATATAACATAAGTGGTATAACGTAAACTATATAAAGATACTTAAGTGGTTAAGAAAAGATTCATCACTCTATGTGAATTAGAAAAAATATTGTATTTGTTCTTAAATAGTATTATTTACTAAGAAACACATAGCCAAGATAGAATGAGATTTAAAAAGAGTTTCAAATCTTATTCAAACAATCAATGACTATTATATACAGAACAAACATGATTTAATATATCAGACATAATAGATGCTTTAATATTAAATTAGAATATTATTGATGAAAAAATATTAATTACACTGAGAAACCAATTACTGAATATTAATAACACGTTGTTAGACGATACACTTGATCTTCAAATATAAATAAATAAATTAATTAATAATAAATAAAATTAATTATTTTATTTGTTTCTATTTAATTAAAATTAGAATTAAAATTTATATTTCAACCAACATGTTAGAAACTTAATCGATCATACACATTAAGAATCATTAGTTAAAAATTTAACTAGGATTATTTAAATAAGTACAACTTGATTAAAATATTTTTAGAAATTAAGAACTACAATATAATAAATACATGAATTATATTTATAAATCTAGAAAAATCAAGTAAGGACTTGATTGAGTTTATTTCTAAAATTATCTAGAATTAATTTATGGATATTATTTAGAAGACAAATTTATATTTTGTCGATTTATAGGATTTTTCATATTTCTCTTTAAATAATAAGATATGCTTTTTTTTTTGTATCAGAATATAAATATAAATTAAGATCAAAGGCTATTATGTTGAAAAACTAACAAGTTTAGTTACATATACAAATTGGGAATAGTCTCCCAAGCAAAAGAATACCAAGAATAACAAGGTCATGCATACATAGACCAACTAACTAGGCAACAAAGAGAAACATATATTTTATACATAAAGAACATATAGGGAACCAAGCTCCGTAGAAAAAAAAAAGGCTATAACCATAATGACCAATAAAGGTTAACAAAGAAACCACATAGTGAAGGTATATAAGCTAACCCAACTAGCACCATAAGACAACTGAAATCCATATCAAGACCCAAACTTTAAAGGAGCCGAAAGTAATGCCGAGTAGCCTAGCTAACAGAGACTAGCAAGTAGCTCAACAAAGATAGAGAGAGCATAACAAATGGCAAGCCACCTTCCAGTAGATACCAAAGCATCCAGTAAACACAAGAGCGGGCACTGGAAGAAACCAAGAATGATAGCAAGCCATACAACAAACAATCTAGAAGAAAAATAATAAACTGGCAGAAGAAACTCACCCTGCTAATTTTAGAACCCCAGACAAGCATAGAAACAACACAACTAGAAGCAGTAAGAAATAACCATAGCAACAAGAGATATAAAAGGAAAACAGAAAGCTTTTAAAGAGGCCAAAATATAAATAGCCAAATCCTAGGTAAAGGCATTCCAAAGCTTAGTTTGAAACACTATAAGTTAAAGGATTTGATTTATGGAAGTACAAAACTATGCAGAAGAGAATCTAAAACTTGCAGAGCAAATCATCAACAGATTTATCAGCATTGTCAAACACTCTTCTGTTTCGTTCTCCCCAGATCAAATACACAACCAAGATGATTAGTACTTAAAAGTGCATTTTTATCAAGGTTTTATATTAGCATTTTGCACTTGAAGTATCAATAACTCATTAACTAAAACATGTTTTATAATAACAAGTCTGATATTATAAGATACCTTTAATTTATAGTAAATATTCATCTTAAATGCAGGCCTATCACATAAATCAAAGGATTGATTGATGAGTTCAACTACTAAAATTGAGAAGATAAAGAGAGAGTGAAGCTTAAAAAAGTGATGCTGGTTTGGTCCAAACTAGAACACTGTTCAGCTATTGAGTCATATCTAGAGCTGTAGATCTTGGATTTCATTTTGGTTTATAGGCTAGAAATATAAGACATAGGCCTAAAACATTAATGCAGAAGATAAGACTCAATTCTGCCTTTTGGAAGTCCAAATCTTAGAAACAATGAAGAAGTCTGAATTTATCTTGTAGCCGATATATTGTTCAGTGTTCAGCTCATATCTTGAGTTTTAAAAGCCCAAATGACCATAATTTTTTTTTGTTGGTAAGTTGAGATAATTTTCTAGAATTTTCTTGATTCATGTTTGTTAAATTCTGATTTTAGCAATAACATTTTGTTCAAACAAGAATATAAGGATTATCACCAAGTCAATAGTTCGTCACCCATGCAACAATTAGTCAACAAATCAATAGTTTCTAATTTTGGCCTATAAAAGGAGGCATTTACCATGCATTTAGGCATGTTGATTTTCAGATTAAGATCATGCTCTTTATTTCTTTCTTTATATTTTTGTAATGTTTAAGTTTTATTTCATGCTATATTTTCCTTAATCTCTTGTTTATGCTTTTTATTTCCTTTACTATAAGTATATTTTTATGTTGTTTATTTATTTTTCTCATCTTCATTATATTTAGCTAAGTTTATTATGTCAAGGTAAAAAGATTACATTAATGGTGTAAGAATAAGTATAGTGTAAACTCAACATGGGATTTAATCTTTGATACTAACATGTTTTATATTTGCTATCTTGTTCACTTTTAATACTTTTCTTGTTAAATGGTTAATCTAAATTTTTGTTGTATAACACTTGGTACAACAAATACTTGACACTTTCATAGCCCAATTATATGGTATAATCTACACCTGTGCTATGAAAGGAATTTGATTTGTTGTTAACAGAAGTTATAATCATGAATACCTAACAATATTTACAAATATTAGCATTATTATAAGATAACTAATGTAATCATGTTAACAACTTATAATTCAATTAAATCCTCATTTGTGTGTGGTTTCCAGTTGAGTAATAAAAAGAATTTATACTATACTTATTTGAAATACCATTAATAGATCCTTTAACCTTGACATTTATTTTTATCATTATTTAATCCTCACATTAATCTTACAATCTCAAAGCCCTATTTAATTTATTAATTATTATTATTGTTGTTGTTGTTTATAATTTATATAGTTAACCTCCCAATGGTTCAACTCTAGTCTTACCAGGTTATTTATTACTAGCTTTCAAACTAAGCTTTCTCTTTGCATTCCAAAGGGCCAAGTTAAAGGCATTTCAAACTAAGCTCATGCTTTAAACAATTTTCAAAGAGCCAATGACAACCCATACTCACAAACATACAATCCTAGTTGGAGAAATCACCCAAATTTCAGTTGGAAGTGTGATAATAATAATGTACAAACTTCACAACCACTATTTCAAACATACCAAAATTTTCAAAATTCTCATGGATATGCACCTCCTTATGCTCCACCTCCTATAAGAAATTTTGAGGAGACTTTGTATGCATTTATTGAAAAGCAAGAGACAATCAACACTCAATTTGCTCAAAACATAACAGATTTTAAAGATACTCTTGTAAAATTCACATCTGGTCTTAGTTTTCAAGGGAAAGGTAAGTTTCCATCTCAACTACAGCAAAATCTCAAGGGGCAATACAATGCAAATGCAAGTAGTCCTGGAAGTCAACACATGGATCAAGTCAAATCAGTCATCACTCTTTGTAGTGGTAAAGTTATTCAAAAACCAATTCTTGAACCTTGTGAGACAGATGATGAGTTAATCTCTAAGGGTAAGGAAGGGGTTGAATCTGAACATTGCAAAGAAAAGACTGATTCCCCTCTAGCACTTCTATTTCCTCATGCCATGACCAATCAGGAAGAAATCAAGGATGAAAAAGGCACCGAAAATGTTGATGCGGATCTTTTATCAAAAGTGACAATAGATTCGACACCCGACATCACACCAATCGATGATTACTTTCCTGATAAATCTTTACTTTCTCTTAGTTCAATGCCTTGGTTTGCTAAAAATATCAATTTTCTTATTTCATGATTTTTGCCAGCTCACTAGAGTACCGAAGATGAAAGACAATTTTTGAGCAACGTGCAAAATTTTTATTGGGATGACCCTTGCTTATTCAATTATTGTCCTGATCAAATATTTAAAAAATGCATTCCCGAGAATGACGTAAGTAATTTCATTAAATTTTGTCACTTTAAGGCACATGGGGATCAATTTTCTTAAAAAAAGAGGACTGTAGAATTCTTACAAAGCAGATTTTACTGGCCCACCATATTCAAGGAATCACATGCATCCTGCAAAACCTGTGAAAATTGTCAAAAGGTAGGATTTATTTCAAAACACAGAGAGTCTTTAAATAA